AAGAAACATGTGTTAATGTGACTTTTATTTTTAAGTTTTGGTTAATCAAAATATTTTATGTAATCAGTTTCACCAAACGTTTTGAGTAAAGTTAACTTATCGGGTTTTACAGTGTAGCTTATCTGAATCAAAAACAGAAGGATGCATTACTGAAAGTCCTACAGTAAGAATATTATTTCATCTTGTGTAAAATAATAAGGTGTTTAACACTGTTAAGTGTAATGTCACTGCAGCTATTAAAATATTACACAGGGTCTAATCTCTGTCAAATACATAGAAATTTTCATTTTACTCTCTGAACTTTTGTTTCATGAAGGACTCTACCAAAGCAATAAAAGGAAGCTTTCCTGTTCAAGCACTCATTAAAAAGCTTCATTGCTCATACTCAAACTCTGCAGTACTGTAAACCTCTTTGTGTGAGTTGGCATTGAGAACATTAGTCATGCTGTTTGCTTTCCCACTGCATCTGTTCGAAAAGGTAATAGCAAAATGCTATTACATTCATTTTTCATTGAAAGAGGAGCCAAATGAATGTGATGCTGTTAAAAAGAATACGCTGTCAAAATATATTATCAGATGTCAAATGAGCAACAAAAAGTTTTGACCCGAGACCATTACCAATATAAATCGTCTGCCAAAAGGAGCGATATTTCATATATCTCTGTGAGAGCTGGCAGGAGGAGTCGGTGAGGCGCCACAGTGATCAGTGTCAGTTTGACTCTGACCCCTCAACCAATGCAAGAGAGACTGACTGTACACCACGTATGAAACTGTACAGGTCTGTTTTAACTCATCAGTTTGCAAAAACTGTTTTATTTTTTTTATGTCTCCTTTAGATTGAGACAGTATAAAAAATAATAAAAATAATAATATGTGCAGTCCTTCAAGCAGCATGGGGGCTGAGTGTCTCTTGCAATCACCAAGTTAACAATTCACCTCAGCAGATAGCTTCCTATTTTCATTCATCAGTCCCTGAAAATGTATGTTGAAAATGTATGAAATGTTGGTCACCAACCACAGCCACACATGTCATGTTCAACAAGTGATGTGTGAATAAATACGGAAATATTGATACCACTTATACCAGATTTCTATGCTCTAAAATCCAGCCTGAGTTTTACTTGGTATCAGAATCAGACAGGAAATTGGTGGCATCGAACATCACAACATTCTACCATTTAATTAGGATAGCTAGACATACTATTTTGTATTTAAACTCATAATCAGAAACATTCTGTCTAATAGCTCACATTGGATTAAGCTAATCCCAGAGATTGTTTAAAATAGTTTTACTTAAAACGTAGGCAAGCAATTGTAAACTTAATTCAAGAAGCTTTATAAGCCAAGTCAAATCATATTATATCAAAGTTGTTTGTACCTTAAAAGAAAATTGATTATCTAAATATTGCAGGTGTTTTTGTAAAGCTATTGTTTCCATGAAATGGCACCATTGCATACACTGCAGACAGTCAATTTTAAACCAATCATTGCATAATGTTGAGGCCAGCAGGCAGTGTACCACCTCAGGACAAACTATAATGAGAGCGACTAACAAACACGGGTGAAAAGATAGATGGATGAATGAAGGAGGAGAGGGAGACAGCACCAGCTGCACTTCCATCAACTAACAAACAGCTGATCCTGAAGGATTATCTTTCTGTGTCCTCCTCCCAATCCTTTGACCCGCTTCTATAAATTATGGCACTTAAGAACAATAGGAGGCTGCAGATAAATCATGCATTTCTCGTAAAAGCCACATGAGCTTTTAATGGGTGAAACGTGGTTTAATGGTTCCAGATAATGGAAATAACTGACAGAATAAAGGCAATTCACAAACATTAGAAGAAGCCCGATGAATGTTTGCCTGCAAAAACCTCAAAAGCAGATCAAACGACTGCAGCAGACCATAAAAAAAGGAAACAGCCAAAACGGTAGCATGGCTACACCCTTAAGTGACCCAGTGGTGTATCGTAACATTCAGGGATTGAGTGAGGGAAAATTGCACATTTCTAATCCTTAATGGCTACCATCTTAGCTACTTAGCAGAAGGAAAGGGATCATTATCCAGTTTTCAGTGTGAAGCAAGAGAACATAAACACCAGGATTTGCAAAGACAAACAATGTTCTTTGTAGTAGTTTAATATGTTAAGGTACTGATGCAAAAGACATTTAATTTTTTTAATACCTCATTTGAGACTAAAGAGTAAGTTAAAGTTTAAGATAAAATGAAAAACCTAGTAATTAAAGCTGCTCTCTTTAATTAATTTAAATTTCTGCTGTCACTAACAGATGGCAGTCGTTTTGCTGTTTAATGTTCCACATAAGTACTTTAAATGTGTGTGTGTGTGTTTGTGTTTTTGTTGTGAAGTTAATGAAAAAAAACATTATAACAATTGTTTATACACTCACCGGCCACTTTATTAGGTACACCACGCTAGTAACGGGTTGGACCCCCTTTTGCCTTCAGAACTGCCTCAAATCTTCGTGGCATAGATTCAACAAGGTGCTGGAAGCATTCCTCAGAGATTTTGGTCCATATTGACATGATGGCATCACACAGTTGCCGCAGATTTGTCGGCTGCACATCCATGATGCGAATCTCCCGTTCCACCACATCCCAAAGATGCTCTATTGGATTGAGATCTGGTGACTGTGGAGGCCATTTGAGTACAGTGAACTCATTGTCATGTTCAAGAAACCAGTCTGAGATGATTCCAGCTTTATGACATGGTGCATTATCCTGCTGAAAGTAGCCATCAGATGTTGGGTACATTGTGCTCATAAAGGGATGGACATGGTCAGCAACAATACTCAGGTAGGCTGTGGCGTTGCAACGATGCTCAATTGGTACCAAGGGGCCCAAAGAGTGCCAAGAAAAGATTCCCCACACCATGACACCACCACCACCAGCCTGAACCGTTGATACAAGGCAGGATGGATCCATGCTTTCATGTTGTTGACGCCAAATTCTGACCCTACCATCCGAATGTCGCAGCAGAAATCGAGACTCATCAGACCAGGCAACGTTTTTCCAATCTTCTCTTGTCCAATTTCGATGAGCTTGTGCAAATTGTAGCCTCAGTTTCCTGTTCTTAGCTGAAAGGAGTGGCACCCGGTGTGGTCTTCTGCTGCTGAAGCCCATCTGCCTCAAAGTTCGACGTACTGTGTGTTCAGAGATGCTCGTCTGCCTACCTTGGTTGTAACGGGTGGTTATTTGAGTCACTGTTGCCTTTCTATCAGCTCGAACCAGTCTGCCCATTCTCCTCTGACCTCTGGCATCAAACAAGGCATTTCCGCCCACAGGACTGAAACTCACTGGATGTTTTTTCTTTTTCGGACCATTCTCTGTAAACCCTAGAGATGGTTGTGCGTGAAAATCCCAGTAGATCAGCAGTTTCTGAAATACTCAGACCAGCCCTTCTGGCACCAACAACCATGCCACGTTCAAAGGCACAAATCACCTTTCTTCCCCATACTGATGCTCGGTTTGAACTGCAGGAGATTGTCTTGACCATGTCTACATKCCTAAATGCACTGAGTTGCCGCCATGTGATCGGCTGATTAGAAATTAAGTGTTAACGAGCAGTTGGACAGGTGTACCTAATAAMGTGGCCGGTGAGTGTATGCCAGTAGGTAAAAATACATTAATAGGTTTCATACAGTAGTTGCTAAATAAAATGATGTTAATTAAATTTAACAGAAATAAAGTTATATTTTTGGGTAACCTGACTCAAATGAGCAGATTTGCATTTTTATTATATTTAAACAACATCTAACAACAATGATACTTTTACTTCTTTACTTTAAAATTTAACAACCAGAACTAATTATGAAAAAAGTTGTAGTACTTTTAATTTTACTTTTCCGATTATTATGAGTTGTTTTATGCACTTTTCTGTCAGGGAAATTCAAGATAAAATTAAATAAAGAAACAGCACACAATTTCACATTTAAAGGGTCGTTGCACAATAATATTACAAACTGCACTGTTGTTTAACATTCCACATTGTTTTCCTCATGCTTTTGCACTGTGGTGCTAACGCATCTATCTACAACTAATGTTAGATATCTACATATTTTTACTTATAGACCAAATAAATGTTTACTTTAGCCCAGGTGCCTAAAAATTGTTAGGTTTTAAACGTAATGAAATAAAAGTAAAAGTTATGATTAAAACAAAATTTGGTAAAATTACAGACCCTCAAAAGAATTACTACTGTAACAAAGTACTTTTATTTTACAAGTACGGATAATTTTGTCAACAATAAAGATTTAGCTTGAGTTCACTAATTCAGATAACAAAAAAAGGACATTTGTGCATCAGCATTCCAACAATATTTTTTGAAAG